CCCATCCCACCGCAGAGCTGGTGTGTGGGCACTCGATAGAAGAAAGCAATAACGGATTGATTAAAGAAGGGGTGGTAGTGGGGGCCCCAACACTGACTTATGCAGTTGGGTATCCTCAAAGTGGTAATATCCCATCTGCCTTGAATGTTACCCAATCAAGGGCCTGTTAAAGCTCTCTTTGCTCCCTATCAGTGACTTAAGAAAATGTAGAAAACTGGTGCCACTGGGGCTGATCAGTGGTCCATCTGGGCTTCTCTAGCTCTCCAGGGTTAAGATCAGAGTCTTTGCTTTTTGCAGTCAGTGAAGAGATGCCACATATAAAGCATGGACCTTTTGCACACAAAGCATGTAGTCTACCACGAATCAACAATCCTTCATAAATATGTCCACAATCTTGCAGCATATTTATTGCGTGTGGTGGGTGGCATTCAGGTTTGTGGGCTTCAGATTGTTTGAGACAATAGATCATGTGCTCTGAGACCTTTTTGAATAATGAGGCTAGAAGCTTTAAATACCTACAAAGAAAAATATGAACAAAATGATAAGGATTTCTTGCATATATTTATAAGAAGCTGTGAAGCTTTCTTAAGATGCTTTTCTGCCGTAAATCATTTTCTGAACCCAGTTGAACTCTGGCCAATGATCTATCCATTTATTTTGAAAGAGGTCCAGTTGGGATGATGGATGAGGATTTTAAGTTTAGAATAGATAGGATTTCTAGACTGATAATAGAGGTGGCATATCAAAGACAGTGATGTAGAAAGTTTGCTGAGGAGGTCAGATGCCTACAGTAATGGATAAAATCTATCATTACATTCAGTGGTGCATTACATTTTTTCAGGACTGCTCTTGCCTTTCTGGTTTTCTGGGGGGTTGTGCTTCAAAAGATAGATAAGACCAAAACAGAAAAGTTTGTGTGGGTAGGGGAAAAAACTGTATTTGATACAGCTGGATTTACTTTTATAAAATGAATTAAAATTTGATTAGTGTCTCTATTTGGCCATTTTCTTCTTGTACTACACTGCAGCTTGACAACTTACCACTTCTAGAGTTTTTGAGAACTGCATGCAAACCTTATGTCTAAATTATATAGTTCTGAAGATTTCTTCCTGCTTCTGTAGATTTAAAAAAAAATATCAAAATGTTGTTTTCTTTCCCAGGTATTCCACCATTAACTGGTACAGGTACAATCCAATTGTACCTCTCTGACCTTAATGACAATGCTCCAATGCTAGTTACACCATTCTTGGTAGTCTGTGATGGAAAAGAAGAGGGTCCTTTCCATATAAAAGCTGAGGATAAAGATTCCTATCCATATGCAGAACCTTTTACATTCCAATTGGAAGACGCTTTGGAGGGTACTGAAAATTCCTGGAGACTGGGAGAGAGCTCTGGTAAATGACTTCTAATAGGGAATCACCATGTCCTTTGATTTCACCTCTTGGCAAGGTTTTTCCTGGGAATGGAGAAGCGTGGAAGTCTCAGGGATCATCAGCCCTTCAAGGCAGGCCAGGTCAAAAAACAAACACCAGATAGATTCCATCAGTGCTACTGTATTGTTGTAGGCTAGAAACAGAATCTTGAAAGCCTGCCTGAATTTCTCTCTCCCCCATTTTATAATAAAATCAAGGTGGGATTCTTTTGAGTTTCTTTCTCATGCTTCCTTCAGTTTTTGAATTGTGTAATCATTTCTCCACATGCCTCCTATCAGTTCTTGCATATTTCCCAAGGTGATCTTTAAATTCCTTTGACTGATTGATTGATTGATTGATTATGTGCCATCAAGTTGTTTTTGATTCCTAGCAGCCACGTCATGGATTTTTTCCATGATGATCTCCTAACCTGGTCTTTCAGGTCTTTCAATGGTGCCCCAATTGCCACCGTAATTGAGTCCATCCACCTTACTGCTGGTCGCCCTCTTCTTCTCTTCCACCTTTCCCAGCATTAGAGCCTTTTCCAGAGAACTAGGGCTTTGCATAATGTGTCTGAAATAGGACAGTTTGAGCCTGGTCATTTGTGCCTTGAGTGAGAACTCTGGGTTGATTTATTCAGTGATCCATTTGTTTGTTTTCTTGGCTCTCCATGGTATTCTCGGGATTTATTAAGGCATGACTGAATTTTTTAACTACATTCACACAATATGTTAAAGAAGGAATTCATTTTCTTGGTTCACAGAATACATTAAGGGGTAAATAAACCCAACAAGCTGGGTCTACCTAACACACTAAATTAAAAAACAAGAAAAAAAACCCAGTACAGGAAGGAATGGGAGCCCTAGGGTGGTGAAACACTTTAAAGATAAGTAATTAATGCTAGGTATAATTTTTAATAATGTTCATTCCTTTACTATTATGTCAGCAGTCCTTTTGAAGGCTTCTAGGATGGTGGGTGTTAGAATCCAAGGCAGGCTCAGCAGCTAATCCAACTTGTAGGAGTCTTCCCTGGAATGTTTATAAAAATCCAACCAGCTCCAAACATTTAAAGCATTCATACTCCAGTAGGTAGCACTTGAAATGTGTCAGGCTGCTAGTCCTTACTGCAATATTCTGGGTCCAATTTAAGGTGTTGGTCATCACCTTTAAAGCCCTTCATGGCACTGGACAAGGTTATCTGAGGAGCCATCTCACTCCTGTTATCTCAGCCCACCCCACTTGGTCCGGCAGAAGGGGCATGTTGCAGACCCCACCAGTCAAGGAATTTCGACTAGTGGAATCTTTTCTGCTGTGGCCCCCGCTCTATGGAACAATCTACCTCCCAAGGTGCGGTGTGCCCCCACTCTCATGGCCTTCAGGAAAGGTGTGAAATCCTGGCTATGCCAGAAGGCCTGGGGGCCGGATGGGGGCTCGTATCAGTGGAAGTGGCTTTTGGGGGGGGGGATTTTTCCCCCCCCCCCCCCCCCTCCCATTGCTTCTTTTTTTTTTTTTTTGTTGTTGTTTTTTTTTTTTTTTTTTTTTTT